TTAGAGAGCAAGAAGCTGGGAGAAGGTGGATGAGATAGACAAGAAAACTATCATCTCTAGTGTAAGAATATGATGTCTTGTTTAATGAAGAGAAGGACAAGGGGGGACATGATAGCAGTGTTCCAATATCTCAGGGGCTGCCCCAAAGAAGAGGGAGTCAAGCTATTTTCCAAGGCGCCTGAAGGCAGGACAAGAAGCAACGGGCGGAAACTAAGGAAGGAGAGAAGCAACCTAGAACTAAGGAGAAACTTCCTGACAGTGAGAACAATTAACCAGTGGAACAACCTGCCTCCAGAAGCGGTGAAAGCTCCAACACTGGAAGTTTTTAAGAAGAGACTGGACAGCCATTTGCCTGGAATGGTATAGGGTTTCCTGCCTAAGCAGAGGGTTGGACTAGATGACCTCCAAGGTCCCTTCCAACTTTATTACTACTACTACTACTACTACTACTACTACTACTACTATTATTATTATTATTATTATTATTATTATTATTATTATTATTATTATTATTATTATTATTATTATTATGTTTCAATCCTACTTTTTTTACCAAGTAACTGAAAAAAATATATAATATCCTTTCTGGATTTCTTAATACTACATATCGAAGGATGAAAGAAAGGGCTTGCTTAAGTGATCTAGAGACTCTTCAGATCAACCATATCAAAAGTCCATCTCATGCCAATTTCACATCAATATGATTTTCTTTCCTTTTTTATTTTTTATTTTTTGCTCTTGTATGGACATGTAGCCCTGAAAGGCGGTTGTTAGCACCCATTACACATCAAATTCACTTCACAGTTTCACATATGACCAGTTTGGTTCAATCATTTTTAATCGTGGAGTTATCAAGTCCTGCTTTCAACTTGGCAGCACAAGAGGGTGGGCATGCTACCGTGTACCCCTCAGTCATTTACAAAAGGCAGTGACCAGGAGCAGGCTGTGAGTCCCGAGCAGTCAGAATTAATTTAATGCTTAATAAAACTGCTCACCTGAAGGAGTTTTAATATTAAGTGGCTCCTTGCAGCCACCAGTAAGGCCTCATGGTTCATTCAATTGATGGGTTTCCAGGAATAGAAAACTCCATGCATTTAGGTGGACCTGGAGATCTAATCCATCAAATAGTAATTAGCTTAGTGTTTAAAAAGTCTCAATCATGGAACAGAACCATTAGTTATTTACAGTATGTTAGCCTAGAATTGGATGGAGTCTGCCTGATCAGGTGAGTAACACTTGCTGTACATTATGTAAAATGGCCCAGCTAAATGTAGGTGAAGAAAACCGCCTCCTCACTTAATGTGCAAATTGACAGGTGGAATTAATTTTTATCAGAGGGTGAAAAGCCAACCAATCAAAATTATAGCAGCGTTCCAATATCTAAGAGACTGCCACAAAGAAGACAGGGTCAAACTATTCTAAAGCGCCTGAAGGCAGGACAAGAAGCAACGGATGGAAACTAGCCAAAGAGAGAAGCAACCTAGAACTAAGGAGAAATTTCCTGACAGTTAGAGCAATTCATCAGTGGAACAACCTGCCTCCAGAAGTTGTGGCTGCTCCAACACTGGTGGTTTTTAAGAAGAGATTGGACAACCATTTGTCTGAAATGGTATAGAGCAGGGCTTTTCAACCTTTTCACCCATTGTACCACTTTTAGGATATGGCAACATCCGAGTACCACCAGTCGCCTAGCAAGGTGTCAAAAACTTGATGCCCCCCCCCCAAAAAAGGAAAAAAGTGATAAAGTACAAGTAGTCCTCGACTTACAACAGTTTGCTTAGTGACTGTTCAAAGTTACAATGGCACTGAAAAAAGTGCCCCCCAAGCCACAGCCGAGCAAGACACCTGCCTTCCCGCCTGGCCGCGCTCTTCCTCCTGTCCGAGGTTTTCATTGTTGTGAGCATTTCTGTTGAGGATTGGCAGCAGGGGTGGGGTGGAGGGGTGTTATTCTTTCCCCCCCCCCCGGTCTGCTGGGTGATTGCAGCAGGTTTTGGTCACTTCACATGACTGTGGGCCACTGTGACCGTCATAAATATGAATCAGTTGCCAAGCATCTGAATGTAAATCACAAGACCCTGGAGATGCTGCAACATTCCAGCTGATCGGCGCTTCTTCTGGGCTCAGCAGAAGTGCCAGGATCAGTGCTGCTTTCCAGCTGATTGGTGCTTCTTCTGGGCTCAGCAGAAGCGCCAGGATCAGCGCCAAGGTCACAGAACCACCAGGATCAGCGCTGAGCTCCAGCTGGAGCCTGACGCTGATCCTGGCGCTTCCACTGAGCCCTGACAGCCCCGAAGAAGCGCCGATCAGCTGGAAAGCGGCACTGATCCTGGCACTTCCACTGAGCCCTGACAGCCCTGCAGCTCCAGCCGTCTCTCGCTCAGGCTTGTGCGGTGCTGCCACCGGTTCAGTTCATTCCCCTCCCCTGCTACCACTTTTCTAGGATGGTCGCGTACCACCTGCCAGGTGCCAATGTACCACAGGTGGTACCCGTACCACTGGTTGAAAAGCCCTGGTCTAGATGACCTCCAAGGTCCCTTCCAACTCTGTTATTATGTTATGGTAGATGATCCTCATTCTGTTAGCCATCCCATTCGATATGGCTGAAATGATTAGATAGCTTTTTTATGCCTCTTTTTCCTTCTCTATCTTTATTTGAATGATAAGGAACCTATCACAGATGTTTAGCGGTCACCAAGAAAAGCGTCTTTTCTTGTCGTTATTCCTTCCAAGCTGACACACACCAGCCTGGAAAATGATATGACTCCCAGTCTAGTAGATACTTATTTTTCAGGACCGGGAGTGGAGGTGGTGGCTTCTGGGAAGGGGCTTAATCTTATTTACATCTCTCCAGAGTTCCCTTTTTCTTCCTTAAATCTGTAGTGAGCTGCAAGGGCAGTAAATTACCATTCAAAAGCAGGATCTTGTTATCTTTAATCACTGGTGGGCCAGCAAGGATTTGAAGAGCTTTGAAGTCTGTTCATGGACTTACAGATCTAATTCTGAATCTCTGTGTACCAAAGACTAAGACTGGGGGGGGAGGGAGGGGGGTCTATCTAGTTTTTAGCTTGCAGCTGTATTCTTTAATGTTCACAAATCATATAGGCATTATTCACTCATCCCTTCAATACTAACTAGCTTTCTGAATGCTATTCTTCTTGGCTATTGATGTTCAGACTGATAACACAGAGATAATATTCCCAGCACAGAAGAAAAAAAACGATCAATTTGCTTTTACCAAGACAAAGTACTGTCAAGGTATAATTCCTGAAAGCAAAGCCTATGGATACGTGAATGCTAGATATTTCATCTTTTTCTAACAATTAGACTAAACAGCAATGGAACGTCAAGAAAAGCTTCCTAACAGTGTAACAGGGTCCGTTCATCTAATTTGCTAAAAACTAGGGACAGTTACCAGCTTTTTTTTTTTTATGTGAGTTTATTCAATTCACAAACACCAAGTTATAGCATCCATTTCATTTGCTGTAGGGGGGAAACTCTGGAAGGCAATTTGTAAATTTTCCTTCGGTATCAAATAGTTTTTCATAAGCCAGATCATCTGAGAACTTGATGAATGTAGCATTTGCCATTTCCATATCAAAACAATTTCCTCTGAAACATCTATTCTACAATGGTTTATGCTTTATTCATAACATACCATTTTATATATATGCATGCAGCTGCAACGGAGAGATCAAAATAATTCCAAACCAGAATTTCCAACCACCAGTTTGTTGAATAAACAAGAAAGGCTACCAATCAGGCTAAGCTGTAAGCAAACAAACTGCACTAAATCTGAGTTCAGCATATGAGTCAAACCATAATGTGGGCCGTTGGTTTTCTATCTCTTATTAAAATTTTGAGCCCAATGTGTACTTTAAGCAAAGGACTTAAAACCGTATGGATAAAACAATGAGAGGGACACACCTTAAGTTCTTTCTAATCTAATTATTGTGACATGTCATAAATTTGCAGCCAAAGAACTATTATGTCATGTGTCTGATTAACGAAACACTTAAAAGGACTTTCAGGCATATTTTTTTCCTAAAAGCATTTATTAAGGTTACAGAGACGTCAGTACAGCATGGTGGAAATGCTTAGGTCTGGCTTCTTTTCCGTTACGCATATATATTCTAAGCATTTCCCCCCCCCCCTTATTTTGGGGTCATGGTTCACATCTCCCAATCAACTTGGAAGATGTGATTTACTTCCGGTTTCTTTTTCCCGGGCTATCCTTATTCTCCTCCCTTGTTCCCTGTTGCCTGGTTTAACTATAAAAATACCAGACAGTTCTGCATATTGTCAAAGCAAGAATATACAGTATTTGCAGCGTTGACATATTACTCAATAGCTTTCCATAATGTGTATGGCCGTGGTGTCCAACCTTGGCAACTTTAAGACTTTAAGACTAATTGTTTCGAATTATAAATGGAAGATGGATTTAGAGGATAAAAGTTATTTTATGGGTAAGCGATGATATTAGAATGAGAATTAGAATATGACTGTGAAATAAACTAAGAATTTACTGGAATAAATAATAAGTGTATATTAGACATGATATTATTTTGCATGAACTAAGGGAAACCGTGGCTTATCCAAAACTTAAAAATTATTGGACACTAAGCGAACTGGAATATTGTAATTGAAACCAGACAAAAGTCAAAAACAGGATCTGGAGACATATAATTTAAAAGTTCTTTATAAATGTTTTCAATGATTGAGTTATAACTAGCAATTTATTCATTTGAATTTGGTATAATAACTAAGGGAAACAGAAGAAATTTTTGATGATGAAAACTGATATATGTATGGATAAGTGTGTTATTGGACTATGTGTTACCCAACCACCATGTTGCTTCCTTAAATACCCGAAGTTTTGTAAAAATGGAAAATTAATAAAACTTGTTTAAAAAAAAAAAAGACTTGTGGACTTCAACTCCCAGAATTCCCCAGGTATTCTAGAAGTGAATACTTTTCTTTTCTCTTTCCTTCTTTTATTCTAGTGGCTGCATCAACAGCAAATTCCACAGCTGGGGCAATGAATTCTTTGACTTCTCTGGGGACTCTACAAGGACTAGCTGGAGCAACGGTTGGATTGAATAATATTAATGCACTAGCAGGTACCGTAAACAGTGAGTATTTATTGCTGTGGTGGACACTCCAGCAATTTCCCTGTAATCACCTTAGGGACACTAATCGTTTTAGTAGAGTGAATGCTACTAGGGAAATAACACATGTGCAAAATGGGTGATAAAATTGAGAAATTCTATTCCAGACAGCTTCAGGCCCAAAATCTAAATAGATTTTGTCTTGTTAAAGAATTATGCTGTTTATATTGCTTGA